GACTCGTGATGATACAGGCTTGGAACTCCTGTGTCCACTGAATGCGCTACGGCACAAAGATATGCACAGCCTTCCTTAGGGTACAATCTTCGTGGTCTGAAGCAGTGCAAGAAAGGTTCTGAAACTGAAGTGGGGTCTGAATGCATTTGTTCCCATGAATCCTGGGTGATTGACATGACAGTGGTGTGCTTTGTGACTTTTTTTGGGGTTGGTTTGCTTAGATTACAATCAAATTTTAAGGTGACTATGGGGGGGCAGGAGGGGGGACATGCACTATCAGGAAGATGTGAAGTGGTTTTACTACTCAAATAAAATTAAATTCTAGGAAATAAAATCCTTAAAGGGGCTGATTGTAGAGAAGAGGGAAGACAATACCTTATCATTAAAAATCAATCAGATATTTACTAAGTGCCTCTCTGAGGATTCCTTACATTTCAGTCATTGGCGGTTCTTGGATTACACAATACTTTCACATGCATTATCTTATTTGATCTTCCCAACTGGCAGGGAGGCCAGAGAGGGATCTAAAGACGAGGAAATTGCATCTCAGACTTAAGTGCTCCTGGAGACCTCCACAGAGCTGGAGCAGGGTGTCCGAGCATGGGCCGGGTGGTGGGTATCTCCAAACACTCTGTCCTCTGTCTCTCTGACCTCCACTAAGTACTGTGACATATTGTCTGTACGAAAGAGTCCAAAGGAGTAAGATTACGATCTGGACCCTCAAGGAGTTTATGGTCAGTTGGGAAAATAAAAGTTTGCCAATGAAACAAGCAAAAGACTTGTTAATCAGGATAACACAGGTTGCAAACACATCAATTGGGTTATTTTAGTTGGAACGTAAAGTACAATCAATTCTACCCTGGGCCCTGAAAATGAAAACCAATCAAATGGATATTTCTAAAAATTTCTAGCCAGACCATCAGTGTCTTTGGGAGAAGTTCCTCACCGGGAGGAAAGCCAGCGGGCACAGTCTTGTCCAGGTACATGGGGGCACATGGATATTTGGAGCCCTGGAGTTCTTATTCCCCTCTGCTGTGCTTTGCACTCAGGACTAGGAGCCTGTGGGAGGCCATCCTGGCCGCTGTTTGGCCCTTTAAACCATTAGAGAGGGTCTAGTTTTAGGGAGAGGACGCTCTGCAGGGATGTCCAACCTCTTGGCATTGCAACACGATGGTGTCATCTACAAATGTTGTAGGCCACATCCTTAGCTCTCTCGGATGCATACAGCCTATAGGACACAGGTTGGACCTGCCTGAGAAGCAGAGCATGGACTTTTGTGTTGAAAGGGACCGTGGACGTGAAGGGTCTTCAGAAACTGGTCATTTTCATTTTCTCACGTCCCGGTGCTCAGACCTAACATTTTCCAAGCTCGTATTTGTCTCAGAAGCAGGATTCCATTCCAAGTGTCTGTTCTTTGTCTTTTCGGCAGAGCAGGCCTGGGCTGAGACGGCTGTAGTCCAGTCACTGTGTGTCCCTGCCTTTGTGTGGCTCACTAAGAGAGGTACACTGCCTGGGAGGCCCCACGGGGACGGCCAAAGCTTCAGTGAGCAGCTGGCCATTGTGTTTTCACAAAAAGTGCCCATGCCTAGCCAGGTTCAGCAGCCTCACAGACAATGCCAAGTAATCGTCTTCCAGATGCTGATTGTTAAGTGTCCTCTGGCCGGCATAGGGGTTATACCGCAAGGTTCTGCCTGCAGTCAGAGAGGTCTTAAACAGCCTATGTGGGCTGGGAGGCACCATGCTGAGTAAACATGGCAACAGAAAAACTTTTGGAGGTACCATCCGTACCACCACCTCTCCACACTGAGCACTGATTGCCCATGCGAGTGCAAGCCTATTGATGATCAAGCCCAAGCGCCCAGCCACGCCCACTGGATCACTCAGGTCCTCAGTTTCATCCCTTGTCTTCCTCCTTGAGGACCGACATGGATTCACGCTGAGTCACTTCAGCTTTCCTCTCCTCTTGTGGTTGTAAACGCAGCCTCTGGAACCAGCTCTCTCACACACTAGCTGTGCACCCTTGGGAAAGTTACCAGAGAATTCTTGACGCCTTCCATTCCTGCGATGCGGCACCATGGTAATATATACCAGCTATATACATTATGACAGCTACCTCAAAAAGTTCCTGACCATGTTTGTCCAGATGGGGAGCTGAGGAGAAGGCCTAGATGTGTTCTGTGGTGTTTGTTCTTTCCGGGCGTTCATCTGCTGCCCTTTGGAAGTCTTGCTCTGGATACTGCCCAAGTGAGAAGATAGATGCACTAGGTGCCCTCAGTGGGTGTACAGTGCATAGGATAAATCACTGCGTAACTTGTTTGTTCAACAGGCGGGAAGGACTCGGCACGTACTTCGGAACGTGTGCCTGCCTCGAGGAGAGCATCGAGGATGTGGAAAATTTCAGTCAAATGATGCTGTAGAACATTGCCGGCAGCACACAGTAAGTGCCTAGTGCCATAGAAGCATTTTCGGCTTTAATTGTTAGGGCTGGCAGAGTGAATGCTGAGACCGAGCGTGTGGCCGGAGGTTGAGGGCGAGGAGGTGGAGGTGCTCCTGGGGAAGTCTTCCAAGAGGCAGTATCCTTGAGCTCTAGTCTGATCAGCGAGTAGGCGTTTGCCAGCAAGAGAAGACGGCTAAGAGTGTTCCAGGCAGAAGGAACATTGTGTGCAGAGTTAGGGAGGCGTGAAACAGCACAATACACTCGGGGAACTCCGAGCAGGCACGGAACAAGTGGCGCCCCGTCCTTACTGAGACATACAGCGTGCATTTGTTAAATGAGTATGAGAGGTTAGAGGCTGGGAAGTGAAACGCTGCTTGATCGTTCTGGCCTGAAGCGTTGACCAAACACCCATCGAGGCTGAAGTGGCTAAGGGGCTTTTAATCTTTTAATTGTCCCATGTAGTACTCACCCAGCACAATCTCTGTACTGTGTCAACTCTCTCCCTTTCTTTCTTTCCTTATTTTAAAAAAATATATATAATTGAGACAGGAGATTCATGTATCCCAGACTGGTCTCAGATCCCCTATGTAACCAAAGATAACCTTGACTTCTTGCCTTCCTGCCTCTGCCTCCCAAGTGCTGAGATCACAGGCATGTGCCAGCCATGCCCAGTTTTATGTCGTGATGAGGCTCCAAGCTTGGGCTTTGTGCGTGCTAGGCAAGCATTCTATCCACTGAGCCACACCCCAGCCCCTTCTTGTCTTCTGCTATAAGTAAACTAGTTGTCTCTCCCCCCCCCTCCAGTGATGGAGATGGATTACGATGAAGCTGCCAGGATCCCAGAATGGGTACTAATGCTTTTGTGGGTAACACATTTCTTCAGATAAAAGGTCAGCAAAACCTGGTCTAAGGACCAGACCCAGTGCTCTGCCTGGGGCTGGGTGACCCAGGATACTGTCAGTTGGGACATTTCATCCCTGCTGTACACAATCACTCATCCTCCCACGGGTTGGCCTACACTCAGCCGGCGGTGGCAGGTTCAAGAGAGAAAGTGGAAGTACACACTTGAGGCTCAGCTTGGATTCGGCACAGTTGCGTCTGTTACATTCCGGTAGCCGGCGAGAGGCAAAAGGCCAGCCTGGGTTGGAAGGGTCTGGAAATCACCCCCAGTTCTTGATTAGAGCTGCTGCAAGTGGCACTGCAGACAGCAGGGAGACCGGAGGGACAGAGTCAGGGCCGTGTTTGACATCATACGCAATCATAATCTAAAGCAGCATGCATTCCAACCACGGATTTTTTTTTTTTAAAAAAGTCATCTCTGTGGTCTCCAGTGGAAAGATGTATTCATCATACATGTCTGTTCATCCCACCCACAGCTATGAATCATCAGTGTCTTCCACTGAGTCGACCATTATCCTCTAACACATGACAGGTACAGAGGAGGAATAAAATGAGACGCGTCGTACGAGACCCAGACCCACATTCAGATACCACCTGATGGATTTCACCAGGGAACCGGGCTCAATTTTAACCCATTAAAGGTATAAAGCAAACCATTATCACAGATGCACCCAGTGACTGAACTGGACAGCCTTTGGGACTAATGTCTAAACAGACCTACACTCAGTATTCTTGCTTCATCATTCCATGCCCCACTACTGTTACAGGTGCTATTAAAATTGGCCACTGGTGCATCTGTATAAAAATGTGACTGAACCGACAGACACAGGACAGCTGCTTTACCCATCAGCTATTTGATGGCTCCCCCCATTAAGCTCTCTCTCTCTCTCTCTCTCTCTCTCTCTCTCTCTCTCTCTCTCTCTCTCTCTCTCGTGTGTGTACATGTTTGTGGGGTACACATACATGTGTGGAGAGGTCAGAGGTAGACATCACTCCCCACCTTATTTTTGGAGACAAAGTGTCTCAGAACTTGAAACTTGCCAGTTTGGCACGATGGGCCGGCCAGCGAGCTCCGGGCCCCTCCTGTCTCTGCCTCCCCCCCCCCACACACACACTGGGACTGCAGATGCATGCCATCATGCCAGACTTTAAAAGGGTCCCGGGCATCCAGGTCCTGATACTCGTCACAGCAAGCATCTTACCAGCTGAGCCACCTTCCTAGCCCATTTATTTTCCTCTTCAGCTTTTCAAGACAGGGTAGCATCACGTACCCCGTTAGCTTCAAACGTGTGGCATCAGCCGCCACGAGATATTTTTTTTTCAAGTTTATTGCCAGAAATTTTTCACTGTTACCAAACTTGTCTCAATAAATAATGCGTAGTATAAACTACAACAAGGATATCAAAACCCTCGAGTAGCAGTCCTCTCCCTGATACCGGGGGATGTCAGAAGACAGAACTCATAGTTGGAACCAAGACTATCTTGAAAGGTGAAAAACAAAACCACAACTTCCAAACAGTTCAGACAAAAACCACACAGCTTAGGTTTGAAAATGTTCTTTCTGTTCCGATGCCACTCAGGGTCCTTGGGCATCTGCAGGATGCTGACGTCTTGACACCAACTTCCATGGAGTTGCTGCTGTTAAGAGATCTGTAGGAGCAGCATCCGTGGGTGGAAGGAACATGCCAGATCTCAGGGAACTATTAGATGCCTGTTGACTCAGGCGGCAGGACCAGCTGTGAATGGGAATGTATTTTTACGTAGCTTCAGTGGAAAGGAACAGGGCTGTTGATATTAGTGCCAAGGTGGGGACGGAACCTGCTGAGTTATTTGTGGATGATTTGGTTTATGGAGGATGGGAAGATAGGGCTGTCTTGGGAGGTACAGCTGAAGACGCTAAGCTCAGAAGTTAACTCTGGGCATAATGGCACATGCCTGTAATCCCAGCACTTGGGAGGTGGAGGAGGAGAAGGATCAGGAGTTCAAGGCCAGCCTGAGCAATGTGAGACACTGTCTCAAAAAAAAGAAGAAGAAGAAAAAAAGATGTTTATTTGAGTCAGGTCATATAAAGATGGAATGGTAAATCTACCAGGTAGTGTTTTCAAAATTAGACCCCAACAAATGTTTATTTCTTTCATGTTTCTGTATCTCCCACCCACCTTAGGAATGTCAAAAAAAAAAAAAAAAAAGTCCTGCCAGCCAGCTGCCTCTGGAAAGAAGTCAAGTAGGATAAACTTCCTGTTGAGGGTGAAGGCGCAGGGGCTGTCACTTCTGCCGCCCCTCCCTCCTCCCAGCTCCCAGGCTTCACTAAGATATCCCTTCCTGCCTTCGGAGGAAGCCTGTGTGTTCTCTCAGAGCTACCTTGGCATTCCTTGATGTCTTAGAGCAGCAGATGACCCTGGCTGAGCGAGACAGTCAGCAGAACAGCAGCTCTCGATGCTGCCTTTGGAAATTTCCATTCTTTGCTTGCAGCTCTGAAAAAAAAAAAAAAAAAAATCTAAAGAGCCCAGTAGCTGGGAAATTTCCACAATGGAAAATTTTAACATATTCTTTAGCTCTAAACTATGCAGGTTTATAGACATTATTTTTTTTCCCTTCTGGTGATTTCCTTCTTTAACAACAATTTATGAACATGGTACCACTAGAGCTGTGGGAACAGGAGGGCGAGATGACCTGGGGGTGGGCATAGCTTGCTTAGCAGGAGGCTGTGCCATATAAACGTGTGACCACTCACTGCACAGGAGCACAGATCACCGTGAGGCCCACTGGGTGGGACCTCATCCAAAGTAGAGCTAGCCTTGCCCAGGAGCACTGCAGGGAAATCTGTGTTAGGACCTTGAAGTGGAAGGTGCACGGATACAACTTGGGAACCTGACATGGTGAGTCATGTTGCCAGCAAAAGCAAACTCAAGCAGATCCTTTGGACCGCTGCTTCCTGAACCTCAATGGGAGCTGTAGGCTCTGATGCAGTAGGTTGAGGGGGGGATCTAGCCTGCATTGCCGACTGATGCTGATCTCCAGGTGATGCTGAGGCTGCCCTTCTGGGGACCACAGGGTGAGGCATAGCAAGACCTTCGTCAGCATGCAGCCAGTGCCCTGGAGGCTGAACCCTGCCAGAGGGTGGCTGGAGGTGAGCTCAAGTTACACAGCGGAGATCTCAGAACGGAACTCAAAGTCCTCTGGAGAGATGTTCCCCATCAGTCAGGATAAAGGGGCTCGGTTAGAATGTAGGGGTGCACAGAGTGGCCAGAAGCCTTGCCTTGGAGAATTCTAGGAATCAGGACCTTTCCAGAGAAACTCGTGTTAAGTTGGTGATGATTCCTAAGCCGGGCCTAGGAGTGAGCCAGTCCCTACCACCAAGGGAAGACTGTTATCCAGCATCCTGGGAAGAGAGGCGTCCAGGGGGGCAGTTACGGCCATTGTTGTTTGCTATTACTGAAATAAAAGTTAAAAGGGAATTGGAGATTTTCTTAGCATCTATCTCACCATTAGAAAGGAGGGAGGGAGGGAGGGAGGGAGGGAGGAAGGAAGAGAGGGAGGGAGGAAATAAGGGAGGGGGAGGGGGAGGGAGGTAGCACCATTAATCTAGGATGTTCCTGCCTCATGATATGTGATGTGTCTGCTCTGTGCATTTTTTTTTTTAAAGCAACACTTGTCCTATTTTTTACTTTCTGTTCAGTTGTGTTTAGGGTAGTTTATTAGTCCTTACTTTCCAAACTTTTCCAGTGAAAGTTACACGGAGGACTGTGTGGAAGGAAAGGTGGAGGTCTGAGGTGACAGGCATGCAAGTGTGACTGAAGTCAGAGTGTAGTAATCGTGAGACAGATTTGAGGATATGTCTCTCCTACTGTGCTCACACCATGACTTTGGGGATGGCTTAGAGATTTGAACATCTGCAGATTGGTGGATGACTTCTTCTAAGGATGCTTTTACCCTGAAGCAAGGCATGACTCAGCTAGAAAGGACATCCTGATGGCTTCGGTAGAGGAGACCAGATTGGTTTCCTTAGTGCGAGGCTGGATGAGTCACTATCCACCTAAGAACTCTCTTAGGACCTGCAGTCAATCAATGTGCTTGATCCCTTTAAAGTCACATTTTTTATTTAAGGGAGGGCTTTGATGTTATGCTTAGGTGAGAGTCACAGAACAACGTTCACCATTTTAAAGGCAGCAATACACAGGCCTTTAGTGTCTTTGTGACATTGTACAACTTCCCCTTGTATCCAGTTCCCAAACATTTTTGTCACCCCCCAAGGGAAGCCTCGTATCCCTTAGGCTGATACTGCCTGGTGCTCACTCCCCCCCTCCTTCCGCAACGTGGCCACCACCGGTTTACTTCTGTCTCTGTGGTTCCCAGGCTGGAGAGTTCACATAAGTGAATTCCAGCCATACGTGGCCCTTCGTTAACTCGAGTCTCCTTAAGAATAAACATTATGGTTTTAAGGAAATCTACCACTATCGAGTGCTCATAACATGAGGCATGGAACCGTTATAACAAGTAGACACCATATTACACAAAGGAGAAAACTGGGATTCGGAGGGTTGCCTGAGGCCCATTCCTTTTGGCCAAGCAGCGGAGAGGCTTGGCTGGCCAGGCGCACTTTCACTACTGCTCTTCCCGGTCGCTGTAGCCACAGCTCAGCGTCCTTTCTCTTCCTGCAGACAGATGGGTAGACATTGCTTCTCAAGTTTAACAACGTCGCAGAGCCTTCCTTCGCTCGCTCGCATTCTGAATGCAGCGTTAGTTGCTTACAGCTGCTTTTTCTCCCAGCAGTGCAGCGAGTCCAGGCCAACTCTTCTGAAGAGCTCATTAAAACTGCTAAAATAAAGTCTTAGAAGCAGGTGCATTCATTAGCAGAAAATGCAGACGATTATGTTAATATCACATTCAGGTGACAAATTTAAAGGCATCAAAATCATGGAGGATAAAAGGCTTTTTTCGAGGCTCGGGTTACCTTCTTTCTTTGTGGGGCTCTTGGCTCAGGGAAGCATGTGACTGACTACAGCTGTCCAAAGTGGGGAACCTTCAGCGTTAGTTCACAAAAATAAAACTGTTCTGTGATATCATATTTCTTTTTATGATTTCTCGGGTCTCTAGTTATGAGAAGAAAGATGAGGAATTGCCTACAAACCCTTGCTGGGCCCAGCCCTCCGTTGATAACTCACTGTCCACTGGGCCCAAGGAAGAGAGGCAGCTGAAGAGGTGATTCAGCTCCGTCGACAGGCTGGGAGGTAGCACAGCAGCATGTTTCCATACACAAGATCCCGGTTCCCTGGACTCGAAGAGTAAATCGTTGTAGGCAATGGTTTTCATTTGGGACCAAAAATGATTTTTACTTTGCTCTTTTTCTTTTCCATTCAAAAAAACAGTGAGCATGAAATAAGACTGTCTAATGTTTTTATTTTGAGGTATACATATTTTTGTATTTGCCAAATTTTCTTTTCTTTTCTTGAGACAGGGTTTCTCTGTGTAGTTTTGATGCCTTGTCCTGGATCTCTCTCTGTAGACCAGGCTGGCCTTGAACTCACAGAGAACCGCCTGGCTCTGCCTCCTGAGTGCTGGGATTAAAGGCGTGTGCCACCACTGCCCGGCTGTATTTCCCAAATTTTCTATAATGAATTTTCAATTTTGAAATAAAAATTACTTATTAACTTATAGTTTCTAAGTATTTAAAAATTACAAAGGAATACTTTGCCTTTTTTTCATCAATTGAATGTCCCTAGAAAATTGGAATAATATTTAAATGGCTGAGATATGAAAGCTGGAGAAGAAATGCTCCCAGTTCCTTCCCTCTTCCCAACTCTATGATATTTGTGGTCATGTTGGTTTTCCCTTTGGAAAGGAAGGAGAAACAAATATGACTGGATATCAAGTTACTTAATAAAAAAAATAATTGTGCAGTAGATTACTGGATTTTATCAGGTAAGTGGGCATACTCTCATAGGGATGCACCTGTCACTTGGAAAGGGGAAAAAGCTAAGAGACTTTTATAGGACACATGGACTTTATTTTAAAATTTTTAAGTTATACACTCACTCTGGGAAGGAAGCCTTTGACTAGCTACCCCCCCAACACACACACATTGCTTAAAATGACTACTTCTGATTGCAGAACATAGACACTGAAGCCGCAACACACTTACGGGGCATGTTTACAGATTGTGTGTGTGTGTGGTATGTATGTGTGTGTGTGCACACTTGTGCATGCCCACACATGATCAACAGTAACAAGCTGAGAGACTGCTTGTGTGCATGGTAATCCTGTCTTTCCCTTCGTTCCTCTTCCTGTCTTCTTTTTCTTCCCCTGAACATTTCTGCTCCTCTCTTTCTTCACCACCCACATGGGTGAGTGGGTAAATATATACAGTATGTCGCGTACAGTAGTCCCTTCTCACACACAGAATGGGCTCTAATGGTCAGTAGTTGCCTGAAACCGTAGGACCAAGGCCCATAATTTAATTCCTTTTCTGTCCTGACTAAGCACTTGCTGTATGGGACAGCCATAACTGTCAGTTTGGGATTGATAACAAAGCTAGCACACACAGATTTCCTTTTTGTTTTCTACCATTTTATAGATAGATTTGTTTTTCCTGGAGGTCTCCAAAACCTCAGTATCTACTTTTTTCTTTCCTTAGCAAGTTAAGAAAGTCCACCTCTTCACTTAGAGGAAATCCTTTATGGTTCCTTTGTCATCAGCACCATTATGCCTTGAAGCCATTAGTAAGCCAACCAAGGGTTACTTCAAAGAATCACTTTGATCTAGTGACAGTTACCGTGCCAGCCAAGGTGGCTGCTAAGTGTCTCATGTGCCACTTACAGTGTGGATGCACGGGGCAAAGGGACAATGGACATCTCAGGAGGGCATGGCGTGGACTCTCATCTTCTCGGAATGGCATGCAATTTAAATTTCATAATTTTTTTCCTCTCTGGAACTGCCCATTTCATATTTTAAGACCAAGGGTTCTGTGAGTAGCTGAAACCAAAGAAAAGAAAGCAGTGTGTACAGGCAGGCATGCACACAGTCTTTCTAGTTAGGCATGCTCCAGATGAATCCCCACTCCCAGCTGCCACGCTCAGTGTGATTCGCAGGGACTTCTCTGATGCAGCTCCTTCACTGCTGGACAGCTCCTCATCGCCTAGGAGCGCTTTCCCACCCACCTCTCCTCCTCGGTTTAATTCTCAGAGCTGGCACTCTCACAGAAGCCTCTGGTTCTACACAAAACGAGGATGGTGGCCAGTAGAGACTCGTACCCTTCCAGTATGAGGCAGCCTAAGAAGGGTGATCAGAGTTCAGAGCACAGAATCTGAAGATGAAGAGGAGAGGTCAACTCACGTCCCTTTTCATGGACGTGTGTCCTTCAGAGCCATGCCTGCTAGTCATGAAGCCTGACTTTGAAACTTTGCCCATGACAAAAACTCATCCTATTTTTGTAACCTTGCTTTATTTAGGTGGGCCATTAAAGCACACATACCCA